TGCACACCAGAGGGCTGGGTTTGAGCTCATTAATACTTAGGCGGACGAAGAACATCCCCTTAAAATTCCAATCTTCTAGCTTCTCAGATTTCTAAGTTAGCAACTTACCCGGAAAAATTTCACTAGCCTACACGTGGGTACCACACATAGCCGGAGGGCTGGTTTTGAGTTCTTGATACCTACATGGATGGGGAACATTTCGTTAAAATTTCAGCTTTCTAGCTTTTCTGGTTCCCGAGTTAGCAGCTTTCTTGCCAAAAACTTTAGTGGGCGCGTATGTGAGTACCACGCAAGTAAGAGCGCCCATTTTAAGGGTTTGAGCCCGTATGTGCACGCAAATTAAGTTCCCAATGATTCAGCCCTATATCTTTTGCAGGTCTTGAGATGAAAAATCGGTAGAGACACAAACGCACACACAAACAAGTCTTCGTCAATATGCCTCTTCTGCATTGCATAGATGCAAAAGCGCATAACAGATATTCTTGTAAAGTCAAAGCGCTCTAAACAGCTTAGTTGGCATTTTTGCCAGATAGAGCATGGGATTGTAATATGCTCCAAGAATTTCATCCTCCTTGCTTTCTCAGTTATTGAATTGAAAGTGCGTGACAAATTCACTCTCTTTCGAACACACGCACACAGGGACATCCTCTCGACCATGTGAATTTTTGCATCTGCATAAGATACGAAAACGTATAATTAATCCTTGATCGAATTAGCTTGACATGCGATGAAATTAACTGAGTTACGAACCAACGGCTGGTGGTTGATACTGCTGACATCCACTGCTTGGGCGCCTCCAGTAGAATAATTGGCAACGAAATTTCGCATATTTGCAACACAAAAAATATGGCATATAGTCGTGGTAGAATACCGATAAGCCTGGCACCTGCAAATAACAAAACAACAACTCATATTCCCTTCAAACGAACAGCATGAAAAGCAAAGGTAAAAAACGAAAGTAAAACAGTACTTCAAACTGTCCGATGTATGGATCGGTGCCAAATTCATAAGCCCTCAACGGATAACCAGGATTATACGGTGTTTCTTCAATAACTTTTATTACCGGCTGATAAGTTGTTTGCATTAGTTTGCCTTCTTCATCGTAGCAGCATACTTGCCCATAATGTGTTTGGAAACGTCTA